GGCCGCCGCTCACCTTCTTGCGGCCCTGGCGGTCCTCGCCCAGCAGCGCCTCCGCCAGCGTCAGGGCAGACTGGTACCAGAACTCCTCGCCGCCGCCCAGCTGCTGGGCCGCCTCCACCAGCGCCCGGGCCTGGCCATGGCGGCGCTCCCTGTTGGCCAGCTGCGCCAGCAAGTGCAGGCACTTGGCCTCCGCCCGCGCGTCGCCGAGCTCCTAGGACACAGCCTGGGTGTGGCAGCCTGTGCGCTGCGGACAGCCCCGACGTGGGGAGACCCAAGGCAGGGGGGCAAGCAGGCCAGGGGCGGGCGAGCTGCCGAAGGACGCCCGCACACGCCTGCCGCGTGCGGGCACTGAGCGGCCACCTTGGAGGGGAGGCGGCCCTCCAGCAGCGAGGGGCCCGCAGCGCGCGGTGGACAACGAGGGCCCAGGCCCTCGGGTCCCGCCCCGCCCGGTGGACAACGAGCCCACCAGCCCCAGTTGTTGGGGTCCCCCAGAACTTCCATCTTTGTGTGGAACAGGGAAGAACAACTGCCAGAGGTGGGGGGAGAGGTGGTTGGGACTCGGGGTGTCGGGTGTCAGAGCTGAAGGAACCAGAGCCCGGCATGCTAAGGGTGGAGAGCTTCCGCAGCCGTGAGCCGGGCGGGCAGCTGAGCCCCAGGAGGGCTCCTGGGCATGAGGACCGAGCGGGGCCAGGCAGCCACTGTGCGCCCCTGCCCGGGACAGGCCAGAGCAAGGCAGCAAGAGGTGCTTGGGCTCCCGGGGTCTCCATGGCAGACACGAAGACGTGGCTGCGGGGTGGAAGGGCCACAGCCAAGAGGTGCCCGGGTGGGGCAGCCACGGGCAAGGGACCAGGTGTGGCCCGCAAGATCCTGTCCCCTGATAGCTGGGCCTGCCCACACCTCCCTGCAGGGCAGCGACCCTCACCTGGAAGGCCAGGTAGGCCTCGGACAGCAGCAGCCGCGCAGGCTGGTGCAGATCCAGCTCCAGCAGAGTCTCCGCTTTGAGGACCCACAGCTGCGGGAGGGACGTCCCGGCCAGGCCTCCGCCGGAATCCCCGTTCAGCTGCAGAAACTGCAGGACACTGGGAGCTGCATGGCCTGGCTGGCCGGACCGGGCAGGGCGAGGTGGGCCGGGTGGGCTGGGGGG